CAAGGACGCAATAATGTTCACTTCTTCTTCAGCGAGACCAGATTGTTTCTTTGGACTCCATACTTTCCCATTCAACTCTACTCTAGAAATGTCTGGATTTCCTTGAACGAGAATCTCGAAAGAATCTGCCACTTGTTTCCCTGCATTTGATTTAAGCATTTCTCCTTTCTGTGAAATTGTTCTAATGCATGGCAGAGTTCGAACATTGAAGAATTCATGCAAGAATTTCCCTTCTTTGTCTTGTAAACTAGAAAAAGGAACTGAATTAACTTCCAAGTCTGGAATAATAACCAGTTCATTGACGCCACTTCCAAGCTCAATTTTCAGCTCATCCTCAATAGGACTTAAAAGCAGATGATGCAGCTTCTGAAGCGGTGTCAGTTTGGTAGAGTACAAAAATTCACAATAATAGCAAGATTTTTTGTCTTCTTTTTCATTCACTGACTCACTGCGTTTCCCTGTTACAGATTCGGGTAGGGCTCGGTGATCACAATTGTAACTCTCCTTGTAGTTGCCGTGAAACTCTTCGATACAATGTTTAATTTTGTTGGTAAATGTAGAATGGTCACAACTCTTGTGCCAATGACATCTCACGATGCCCTTCCCTGGCGACAGAACCCACAAGAGGAAGCCAGTAGGAATAACAGAAAAGAACAACAATGCTGCTTGCTGCAAATCAACGATACTCGTTATATCCTTTGCTGAGTATGCTGTAACAAGTCGCTGACTTGGTGTTGACGAGGTCTCTGAATTGGCTAGAATTTTCTTATGTCTAATAATGCTGACAAGAATTCGTGATCTGCAGTGTTCGGCAATTTCTAAGGCCTCCTCTTCTAGATTCATCTCAATCAGGGCTTCTTGCAGGTCCTTATAACACTGATCCAGCTTTTCAAGCAAGGGATCTCTGTAAATCAATCTATTACCATGCTTTGACAACAGCTTGTCTTCCAAGACAGGAATGGCTTTGTTGAAGTACAGACGGGAAGTTTCAAAATTTCTCATGGCTTTTGAAATCTGTGCAAGGGCAAGATTACATTCCAGTTCTTCTTCTAGACCATTTTGCTCAACGGCCAATTTCAAACATGTGTCATAATAATACTGAGCATGGTGTAACTGGTGAAGGTCTCTGTAGCAAGCACCAACAAGTCCATATGCCTTACATTTAAGTGCCTCCATCTTGTTCAATCTGGCAAGCTGTAAATGCTGCTCAAAATAACCAAGAGCTTTGGCATATTCCCCCATGAGTTTATAAAGACATCCAAAGTTCCTAAATGCAATAACTTCTGAGACTTTATCATTCAAGTTCTGTGCCAGTTTCAAGTGTTGCTCATGATTGACAGTTGCTGATCGAAAGTTTCCCATGTTTGCATACACTGTGCCAATATTGCCAAAAGCATAAGCAGCACCATGACGATCATTAAATTTCTTGCAAAGTTGTAGTTCAATTTTGTGGCACTCCAAAGATTTTTCATAATTACCTTGCAGTAATTCCAGTTCACCTAGATTTGAATAAGCTGTGGTTAGATTTCCCTGGTCAATAAATTTCAATAATTCCATGTACTCTTGGGCATGGTGTAGGGCTTTTTTGTAGTCACCCATGAGTTTGTATGCTGCTGATAAATTCCAGACTGCTGTTCGTTCAATGTCATTATTCCAGTATTTTTTAAATGTTTCTTTATCCTCATCACTTCTCTGCAGATCTCTTCCCACACCTAACAGCTTGCCATTGTAAGACACAGCTTGAACATACTGTGCAAGTCTATGATGGATGTTTGCAATTTTAATGTAACACTTTATTTCATATTCTTTGTCCTTGAAATCTAAAGCCACAGACAGACACTTTTGAGAGACACAAAGAGCTTCGCTGTATTGGTACAAACAGTAGTGAGCTTCAGCCATAACAAGCAGTGCCAACATAACTGCTCTGCCATTCTGTAGTGACCCATGGCTGTCTTCACGGCTTTCCTTTTCTTCTGTTCCATCATTACCAGTTGCAACATAAATTGATGCAAACCCATACCCAGAATGAGAGACTTCTGAATCAAACTCATTAGAGACATGGTTGTGGCTTTGCATATCTTTCTTTGTCTTCTCAAAATCTTTTTCACCATGCTGGTGTTTGATGCTTGCTTGTGAGTACAGCAGCTGTTCATCCCAACCATAATGTGCCTTTAAGGCTGTCATGATGACACTTATGCAAATCTTGTAGTTTTCTGTTTCATACAACCTTTTACCAAGTTGGACAAAACTCTCAAAGTTTTGAAAGCTTGCTCCTGAAATTAACCAGATATAGGACATGTTAATCACAACTACAATGAAAAATCTAAGAATTTAATTACCTATATATATGAAATGTTTCATTATAATTAAAAAATGAATATTATTGACCATACAATAACTGAAGACTTTTTTTAAGTTTTTGAGAGTCTTTGCATATTAAGGCCTCTGAATCATAAAATCTTGAGCTCTCTGCACAGGCATAAGCATAAGCCTATTAGCATAAGCCTAATAAGCCTGCATCTGGTTGAGACAGTTGCGATAAGCAAAAACTATTTACATATCAAAAGACTGAAAATGTGTTATTGACAGTACCTTGGTCTGACAGAGAAATTTCTTCCATCTCTGACATTTGGCAGATGCACCCAACAGCTCCAACAATTCTTAGCATGAGTTCAGTTGGGTGTCCTGGGTCCAGCTCATAAGCCTTCAAGTATGAACTTAAACTTTCTCTGTAGTTTCCAAGGTTTTCAAGTGAGACAGCTCTCAAAAAATGGCCCTGTATTTCCAAGAATAACCAGGTTTTTGTCATGTTTTAACCAGACTGGTTAATGTATATGTAAATATAATTTAAAATAAATTTGCAACAAGGACCCATTGGGGTTGAGCTTATTCTAGTTTCTTGTCATCAAGGGACCACAAGTATATTGATTGATCATGGATTACCAGTTGAGAACATTTTTTTTTCAGGTCTCCTTAACAAATCACCAATACTCATTTACTTCTCTTGGTGAAAAGAAGTCCTATTCAACTTAAGTGATTTTCTTAAGAAAACTATGACCCAACAGAAGCTTTACCTTGGACCTCCCAACCCAGAATACAACCACATCAACCCTTTACTGCCAGTCATCTGTTGCATACAAATTAAAGAACAGTTTTTAAGATAGCAATTGACTGTATTACCTCCAAAAAATTATAAAATCCACTATCACAGATATCAAAGCTATTTGGCACTTATAGTCTTAAAAAATGGGGTTGATCACAAACCTACCAACTGTTGAAATCTGATCTGTAGCTCAAGTGACTACTGTTCATGATAATATCAAATTTATTACGAAATTTTTGAAATGTTATGGTTACAATTAGAAACTGAATTTCTTTTTTAAAAGAAGTCAAAACTTCCTCAAAATCATATTATGTGATTATGCAATTTTTTACCTTGGGTTTCTGTGGAATTATGCTTATAAGACTTTCAGCATCCTTTTTGGATTCATTGAACATGCCTAACTTGGCATACACCACTGATCTACAGCCAAGAACATCTTCATTATAAGGTGAAAGCATCAAAGCATCAGAGTAAAAACTGATGGCTTGAAGGTACTGTTCATTTTTAAAGGCTCTGTCTCCCTTTGAGCAAAGTGCTCTCAACTGCAAATTAAGAAATGAAAAAAAACAACCTCGGTATAATTCATCTTTGAATCCTCTCATTTTCCAGCTTAGGGTGTCAAACTCAAGTTATTTTGAAAATCACTCTTTAGCCCCCTTAAATAGCAAAATGGTTGCCAGAAGAAAATTATCCAGGCACTGAAAAAATTATGCAATAACTGGATCAATGTCAGTATCTGAGCAACTACACACCTACCCCTCCCCTGATCTAACAACAGTCAACTGATGACAATTTAGGGTTAATATTGGATTAGGGGAGGGGTATGTGAGCAGTTGTTCAGTTACTGACATTGATCCCAATATTTAATGGAATACTCCTTTGCTAAGCATATCACTTGTCTTTGAGAAATGCATGGTCAACAGAAAGTGATGGAGTCGTTATGGCATTGTATGTAATTTTAATCTCACTTCAACTTTGCATCATAAACACTACATTTTAATACGAAAATTAACCCTTTCACTCTCAAGATCTTACTGGAAATTTTCCTTACTGTGTGCCAAATATTTCTTCTCAAATCAATTCCAAGAAACTAGTACTGGATCAATAAAGAATTCTGTAGTAGATATTTCTATCATTTCATCATGTGTTTGCTTGATATTGTATTTAAATTGTGAGGAGAAATTATGTCTTAGTCAAAAAAAATTGGCGACTTTCGCTGCAAATTTAATCTCCAACGTTTTCTCTGACAAGCTAAGGCAGCCATAAATGGCTGTAGCTCAAAGCCGCTAGCTTAAATTTCTCTCTCTACTATAGAATAATTTAATGCAGTTGGGATGATACAGCAGATGGTTAACAAGGATTAAGATGGTGTCTTGGACTGTCGGTTTAAATGTTCATCGTGATTTGGTTCACTCGTCATTTGCTTACTATACCAGTATCTTCCACAGTTAAACATAAGACAAGTAAAGATTTATATGATGTTTAGTATCATAATTCGTGATATTTGTTGGGACAAAACAAATCTGACTCACCTTTTCCATGGCTGAAGTTCTTTTTCTTGGATTAATAATTCCAGTTAAACTATCACAGAATTCAACAAGTCAACTATTTTTTAAATGTAAAAATTTGATTCAAACTTCGACTTCACATTACAGCCATCCATGGAAAGAAGGAAGAATAAAACCACAATTAAGACTTCAACTCCTTGAGTCTAAATTTTCACATTTCAGACGATAATGAGACTACTTTAACGCCACTTATCAAATAAACTTCACTTAAAGAGGCTTGTTTACAACATGGACGAACTCTCCGCCATATTGATTTGCTTGGCAACCGGCGCGACTCGGTCCTAATCTCTTCGCAGTTTAACCAAAAGCGGCTTACAAATTATGGCCATTTGCCTTGAAGCTGTTAAATTTTTAATAAGACCACATTTCTTTGATTTTAGGATCTTTTCTTTCCTCCAAGGCTCCATTGTATCAGAAGACGTTTCATCGACGTATTTGGAATTTTTCAAAGGAATTGTCACAACGTTTATGAACAATGAAAGCTAAATTGACTGCAGCGAGCTCTTTACTATTGACTGTCCTCTTCCTATGTTTCCTCAAAGGCACGGAATTAGTAACTAGCGGTGACTTGATTGAGTTCCGTAAGTGGTTTGATGATCGTGGTGGAAAATGCCGTTGTAAATTTCTGGAAAGGAAATACCACAAGCTCACTGCTGTAGCAGATAGACGTATTGTAGACAAAGAGTCCATTTTGATGGTTCCCGAGTCTTTACTAGTGAACTCTGCCACGATTGAAAAGTACAGTAGCGCCATCTCTAGAAGTATACATATCTAAGCTGTTCTATTTAAAAAATACATTCGTTTCTTGAATCCATGTTATACTGTCAAAAGTAGCCAAAACCGGCTGTTGGGGTGTTTCAAGTTTGCTGTTCAAATTTGAAACTTGAGCGGTGAAGTATACCTTGTTGCCCCGTAATACTGATGTTAAGTCATGAGATGTGAACATTGTTGCTATATCACTTCTTCCCAAAACAACCTCTGATACCCATGCTAGTCTCAACATAGTCCTAATTTCAAACTAGTCCTACTTAAATAGTCCTACTGTCAAACTACGTATTAGAGGTTCTATATTTTGGCAGAAGTTATATAGTATCGATGCCTACATCTTACAATTTAATAGGAAGTCAGGTGAAGCAAAGGTGAAAGGCTGAAAGGAAGAGAGGAAGAAAGGGGCTTATTTTAAGAAAAAAGATATCACATTTATGACCCTCTAGAATAATAATTATAAAGGGTATTATGACCCTGAAACTTAATTGTTTTCCCAAATTCTTTCCTTATCCCTCAAATTGAATTTTAATCACACTGTCACTCATATTTTTAGCAAATGGAAAAAAAAAGGTTTGCCCTGACAAAAAATTTCTACCAGGAAGGGATCTAGGTGGGAAGCTAGAAAATACAAAATTCCATATGGTGATAATCACAATGCAATAAGTATTTTATATTGGTAACATTTCTTGTTAATCCTGAATGGGCAGTTCAGCGCTAAGTATTCAGTGATTCTTGTGTGGTTTCAGGTCAACCATTGGTCCAACACTGGAGCAGCTATCTCTTGTTCAGCACAAGATCCTTAACCGTCCAGATTACTTGGAACGACAAGTAATGCAGTTTATGCAGATGGCAATATTTGTGCTTTATTCTGTTCACACCAGCGATGAGCAATGGCTACCTTACTTTAATATCCTCTTAAACCATCAGTGCAATGCTTTGTGGATGTGGAGTGAAGAGGAGCTGAGGGAGCTGCAAGATGAAAAACTACTAAAGAGAGCAATTGAATGGAAGGAAATGGTCTCCAGGCTGGCAGCTAACATAACACCAAAACTGAATGGCTTTGGCTTGTTCTATGGAAAGGACCTTACTCCAGAGACCTTGGTAAAATATTAAGAAATACCTTAACACCAGTAGTTGATGCCAGTTTAAGTAGAAGGGTACCTTATCAGGGATTATTCTTATTTTTGTTTTGCTTGTTTCATGTGACAAATATCTCAGTGTCTTTTTTTCAAGGTTGATTAAGCAGGTGTTTCCCTTGATCTGTAAACCCTTTAACTCACATGAACAGTTCCTTGTGATTCCAATGTGATATCGTGCTAACAAAACTTATGAAAGTTTGAGTCAAGTAACATCACATTACCGAGGAGTACCATATTGTTGCAGGAATTTTTTGCAGTAAGTACTGAGAGCTTTACAAAGATAGTGGACTCTTGTTTATGTGACACTGCTTGTGCTGGAAAATTTAATTAACACATGAATGACAAAAGGAACAATTCAGATCTATTGTATACACCTATCTAGCAGTAATAAAGAGGGTAAGTTTCTAAAGAAACTGTGGTGCTGCATTCGGTGGGAGAGTATAGCAGGTAATTTAGTGTTGACAACTGAGTTGAAAATGTAAATTGGCCACCATAAAGGGTAAACAAGCTGATGTTTCAAGCCATCATTCTCATAGCTCTGACAAAGGGCTAACACCCAAAACATCAGCTTTTTATCCTTTATGGTGGCCAATTTACATTTTCAACTTGGTTGTTAACACTAAATTACCTGCTATTTAGCAGTAAAGTTGTTATATAAAAAAGCAAAAAGGAAAAAAATGCCAAATCTGAATTAATTATCATATAGCATAAGCACATGGCATTGTTATGTAGAATTTTTTTATCCTTGGAATGGCTTGAAATCTCTAAACAACGTCTGGTACTCTAAAGAAGTTTAAAATAACTTTTTGGTATAAAAATTGCATGAAAATTGTGCAGCTGCCAAGCAGATAGCCTGAGGGTTGTTTTAAAGGCTAATAAACTCCTCTTTGGTTTTTTCCTTTTTGGCGTTTTTTATTTTTTTATGACAAGTTATTGCAGTTAGGTGTATGTTGAATTTGTTTGTTTGTATGTTTGCTTCAGATAAATGCAGTTTGTTCAGTTCAATCAAACAGTTATAATATAACAAGTCACTCTGGACGCCCAGTCAGGACCCTGGTGCCAGTAAGTTAATTTTCTCTACAGTCTGATTTGTTATTTTGCCTCAAGTGTTAGACCTTAAACTACCATTTTGCTTCTTTCTGTGTTGAATAAGGAAAGCTTTCTGTGTTGTCTTATTTTCACATATCCACCAGGAAATTTTTATTCTATCTACAATCACTCATCCTTATCTTTATGTCATGTGATGCATACATTGGAGCTCACTAAAGAATACCTGATCAAATGCACAAGTATCTGGGTCGTGCACCTCTGCCAATGTCATTTTCTGCATAACTTGCACTTATTGCAAAAAGTTATACATTGGTGAAACACGAAGACGACGAGGTGACCGATTCCAAGAACACCTTCGCGACGTTGGAAGAAATGACAAGGAAGCATCCAAACCAGTCGCTAGACACTTAAGTCTCCCTAATCATTCTAAGCAGATGTAGGGAAAGGCCGCAGTTTGCGGCCTTTCCTTAAATCTAGGCAGTTCGGAAAGCCGCAAAACTCTAGAACAAAAATTTATCTCCCAATTCGGCACTCTTAATTCCAACGGTATCAACGAGCGCTTTTCGTTCAACTAATTTGTTCTTGTTTTCTTGTTACCATATTTCCACCAACAGCGTAGCTCCATTTTCTGCATATAAACCCAAATACAACCCATAATTCCTCCAATCACTCTGACGAAGGGCTAACGCTCTAAACGTCAGCCTTAAAACTCTTTGCGGTGACCAACTTACGTTATCAACTCAGTTGATAACACTAAATTACCCTGTTATACTCTCCCACCGACGCAGCACCACAGTTTCTTTAGAAACTTACCCCCTTTATTTAGAAATGGCTTACTACTCAGCCAGGGCTGGACCCTAAAATGCCCGCTATTAAACCGACTCCTCTCCTTTAAAACATAAGGTCTGTGGATCTCTCTAGAAACTACCATCGTGTTAACCTTCAATATTTGGTGCGAAATTCGGATCGAAAAGTTTAGCTTCCTTCTTAACAAAGTCACACTTGTTGTTGAAAACTTATGTTATTTTCTTTTCAGGGCCTTAACATGTTCGCATATCGGCCCAGTGTTGGTGGAACATGGTGGACCAAGGGTGGCGCCCTACGTTACAGACGTGTTAACACTACAATTGAGGAAGGAGACACTATATTCATTGACGTTAATCCGAATGGTGACAGCGTTCAAACGCTTCTGCAATATGGCTTGTTCGTTTCTGAGGGAAGCAAATTCTTCACTCCTTTGCCAGAGCAAAAAAGCAGGATGCGGCGAAGATTTGTGGACATGTTAAAACTCAAGAAGAAAATAAAATACAGCGAGAAATTCACTTTTAAGGCAGCAGGTCTTCCAAGTTTCCGAGTACAAGCGCTTTCGGACAAAGATGTCGACGCTTTAGTGAGAGCAGGAAGCAATCCGAGCAAATTATCTGAGTTAAAGAAAGTATTTAACAGTCCATCGCTTCATGTTGGAACCAACCCTTCATACTCTTGCAAGGACGAAGTGGTCGCCTTAAATTTGTTAACGCTTCACCTCAGAGATGAAATGTTAGGTAGAACTACTGGAATGCCACAGGATGAAGAGATCTTGACCAAGGATATTCCAACAAGGCAACGTATTGCTGTGGAATTTAGACTGAAGTTTAAAAAGCTTGTTACGAATTATCTTGATATAACCAGCGCTCGAGCAATAGAGACAAAAAGGGAATGTCTGTCTAGAAAGAGAGATGAACTTTAACCCTTTTTTCGCAGCCCGTAACTTGTGTGTGTTCCACCATACTCGAACTACCAAATTTAGTCTGAAAATATCCCAGGAAAGTTCTCCAGTACTGAATTAAAATTTTCAGATGGCTGAATTCTAAAACGTTTACCAGAGGCTCACACATCCTCAAGGGCTACGTTTGAATTACTTTTCATCAGTATGTCAAACCTCAGGTCCAGAAAATAATTTATGTTTGCTATTTATGTCCACTATAATTTCCTCGATTAATAAATGCATATTAAGGATTGATCGTTTGTTTGAAGTTTCAAACGCTAAAGACTCTGCGTCAAAATGCGTTGGTAGGTGAGTACCCAAGGTCGGATTGCACTAATGAATGCCCTTGTGTGACATACTCGATCTCATTTTCATTAACAACATGGGCGACATTTGGAGACCACGTTACAAACCGACTTTTATTCAGTCAAGTCTTTACCTGACAAACAGCAAATAGTACTTGTCATAAAACTCGGAGTGAGATGGCTCAATGCCAAAAGTTAGTCTCATGTTATGGTTCTTTTTTATTGAAATCCTGTTCTTCCTCATTAGGGGCGCAATTAACATTCCAGCAGTTTGACTATGTTTCAGGATCAAGTTTGGATTCAAAACAACAGCAAATTTAGCACGTACATTGGGTGTGGTTACCATCAAGAGAGCTTGGTTATGGTGAACTAATCGATTGTATAATTACAGTTGACAGGAAGGCAGAAGCTTCCTATCATATTTTGCTTTCATACCCCATTAGGGAAGTTATCAGATGTCTGTTACTTTCAAGCGATATCTATTTGAAGATTGTCATTTCAATTTCGATCGGGCCATCAGTTTCAGTCAATAAACTTCCTCTGCCTGTCGGTATGGTCTTGATTTTAAGCTCGCTGTTGCTGTAGTCTGGAGGAAAATCTTCATCTTCCAAATCCTCCTCACTGATGAAACCTGATGATTCTTCAGCTCCACGGCTTCCACGACGTTTTACATTAAATATTTTGTCAATGCTACTCTGAAATCGCTCTAGTTTTTGTTTTCTTTCCCTGTGACGCTTAACTCCAATACGGACAAGGACACGTTCCATGCTCCGTCTGACTGCTCGTCGAATCCTCGATGGAAGTTTTCGAATCCTACAGAAAATTTTGCTTAGGGTTAAAAGCTAACCTTTGATGACTTTTAGATTCTGAGTTTTTTTCTAAGATTTCTAGAAAGACAGAAGTAATACAGCAAACCAGATCAATGATGTCAATCAGGTGGTACGAGCATATCTAGAGGGTATTACCGTGCATTTAGCACTCTTTTTGCTAAGATATTTACAACAATTTTGATGAAGTGCTTTGACATGTCTCAAATGCTTTAAGACCTAATGCGCAATACTCCTCTCGAGAAATTCATAACCTCCCCCC